AAACCATAACTTTCAACACTGGCACTGCATGTCAAGAACAGAGAGCTCACACCGACTGGATTATTGGATTGCAGGTGATCCAAATGCACAATCAATCTTGTATCTCAAAGGAAAAGACTGTGGAGACCTAGGACATGTGCACGTGCTTTCAGAAGTAATGAAAATGAATGGAAGATTAGGAGCTATCCCAACAGATTTGCTTTCTTTTTATGAGGGATAATAAAGATGCATTGGTTTGTTAGTCTGGAAAAGTATTTTCTTGTTTAGGAATGGAATAAGCCTCCTGCTGCATTCTCCTCTTTCAGGATGAATTTGTTTGTTTTAATAAGTTTTCTTTGCATATTTCAGATGATTAAAGAAACATACCATGAAAGGGATTAAACTTTGTAGTACGCCTTCATGATGAACAGTCAAATGCTCCTATTCAGTATAATATACATCTCCCAATGATGTCTTGTCCCTCAGCACATTGTTTTTAATGGGACAATAGGATTACATAGAAGTAGATTAGGAATAAACCTGAAGAGAAACAAAAAGATAACACAATGCACATATGCATTTGGTCTGCCTTTTATATTTATTTTATTTTTTTGCAAAACAAACATACCCCCCCCCCCATTCCTGGGGATACAAAAATTGTAATAACCTATATATAATACAGATTTTTTTAAAAGGTCTTGCTATATTTATAATATATTTTCATGTGCTATTGAGTTTCTTACCACGAGGCAAGAAAAGTGAAACTTTAATGGAGGATGCATCAAACCAAAAAGACTAAACTGATCATTAGGCTAGAGGTCAAACACGCCCTGCTATGGGAAACTCATAACCATGACAGTAATACACTTACTCACTTACACTTTTGGCATGTTTTCCTAATCATTTTTCCTCCTGAGTCAACATGAATCATTCACCAAAGCAAGGAAAAGTCTCTTTTCAGGAAGGCCTTACTTGTTTCTGGGTGTGCACTCACCTCATCACCATGACACCATGAGGATCCAACTGAGACTGGCAGGGCAAACACAGGAATATGGAAAGCAACAAGAGCATACACTGATAACTGGTTTATGCTGAAATAGACACAAAAATCTATCAGAAGTAGTAAAAATTCTAATTATGCAGAGGTAGGTTTTTTGTGTTGTTTTTGTTAAAGGAGGTAAGTTATAACAAACCAGATCTTTCTCTGGAGCACAGACTTTCTCTTATCAAGACACATAAGGGCCCTCAGCTTGCCTGAAAACTTCCCTTTAGCACTAGAAAAGCCATTACAAAGAACATACTTCTTGACTTTCAGACACGGCACACTAAAGAAACCAAAGCTCCCCAAGGTACAGAGCAGTGAAAGAAATCAGGAGAACAGAAAACACATCAAAGAAAACATGCACTACTGGAGAGGACTAGTTTGATATGGATTTGTGTCAAGGTCTTTGCACTAAAAAAAAAAAAAAAAGTCTCAAGAAGAACCTGACTTACAGTATAGTAACATTTTTATTCTATCACCTCCAAATGAGTAAAGCCTTAACAAAGAGGACGTTAGTCTCTGGCTGAGGAGAACCTGTTTTAACTTCACTGATTTAACAATCAGGAAACTGTTTCCTACTTTCAGCTGTGCTAAAAAAAACAAAAAAACCCCACCGTTCTTGATGACTCTGGGCAAGTTTTTGCCTAGAAATTAGATTTGTAGTTTAAGCTAAACATTTAGCCAACTTCTAAGCCTCTGAATGTTGGTGGAGAAAGACAGGAACTTCCAGAAGGTCCTCTCTCCAGCTCTTTTTTAAGAAGGGATGAAAGATGAATCTCTTTTTGGAGATATTCAGTGTGCCATGGCTGAAGGAACGAGCAATTTTCACACTTGATTACACTTTTTATATAGAACAGACATCTGTAACATTTGCAACCTCCTGAAACAGTTTCCTGGCTCTGGTGCAACTATCAATCAGGAGGCAGAGAAAGGCAGGCAGTGGCCAACTTTACCTCCGTCTCACCTGCATTTTGCTAAAATAGGAAAGAGAAGACGCTGATATATATAATTTGACAAAGAAGAAGAGAAATACAGGTGGCTTGCGAACAATGGAGAAAAACACATATTAACATCTTTCCGGATAGTTCTGGTAGGCTTCTCAGCCTTTTAGAACTTTAGAGTCAAGCACACACTGCTGAAGAACTTGAGGAACTGGAGCTCTCAAGGTGTGTGAGTGAGCACAGTTTCAGCTTACACAAAAGCATATATTAATATACTATATAGTATATACTAATATAATATATAAGTTAAAGGCTTTAGAAAATTAACTTGTCTTCTGCTTTATATTCTTTGACAGTGATTATAGCTCCATTAGCTCTATATCCTCCAGAAAAGACACAGTTAAGCCTAAGCTGTTCTATTTTCCCTTTTTTTGTATTGTAGAAATAGGCAACTCGAGGGGAAAAAAAGACAACCAAATAAATACACAACTTTCCAACACTCAGACCCATAAAGCTCAAGAGAATCCAAAAGGAAAGCCTGTTCCCTTGTGCATATTCAAGATTTTATTTACAGCTAACTTTGTCTTGATTTTATATCCTAAAAGCAAGCAGGGCTGATTGCGTAAGGGAGAATTTCTTCTTCCCCGTGGCTTGCTTCAGCTGTACATTTACCCGTTCACATTCCGTAGTTCTCCCCCACATTAACAGCTTAAACCTGATTTCAGCTCCATCCAGGTTCCTCATAGCAAACTTGTTGGAATATTTACTTAACATGCAGAAAAATGATCAGGCTGTTCAGAAGTTAATACAGAAGTTAAAGCTGGCCCTACCTGCGTTGCATCTCTAGTCAACCACCACCCTTCCTTCTTCTCAGGAGCAGCTCCTTTTTCAGAGCACGCCACTTACAACCAAGAAAATAACCGTGACTGACAGTCCCCAGTTCTATTGTATCCCATTTCACTTTCAGCTACGGGCTTTTTCTAAATGCTTAAGAACATAGGAAAACAAAGACAACTGTCTAACGCTGTCGAAGAAATTCTCCGTCATTTTTGAGTTAGGTCAGAGCAGAAGCTTTATTTCTGTAGCTATAGGGGAAAGCACATGGCAGCAACAGTCACTGTAAGCCTTGCCAATGTAGTCTCTGCCTACCGATGGCAACAAGGCCTTTTATATACTTTCTTGTATGTTCCAAAAGCTTTATTCAACCAAAGATCATACTCAAAAATCTTTCCTTTTACAGAGCACTTGCTATACATCCTCAGTGCGTCAAGGCTGGTTGGTTCCGTTTTTTTACCAGTGACCCTGCTTATGGCTCGTCTGTGAAGAAAAGTCCTAGAATAGTAAAGAAACAGTCACACTAGGCCTCCGCCAGGGTTATCTTTGAAAACAACCTAAACAGTAAATAAACCCCAAAATACATTACACTGTATATTTTCACAGATTACCAGAATGGCTACAGTAAAGTGTTTGCAAAGGCTAAATGGTAGCAGCCTCCAAAACGAGCTGCAAGTGAGGTTTTGCTCAGCTGAACAAAGCAGTTTGCTTGAAGCTTGTAGGAAGCCTGGGCACTCCTTCTGCCTTTTTGGAGTACTCTCCCAGCCACTTTCCACCCCCACAGCTTTTCAGACTTTGCCAGTTCCACATAGTTTCCACAGAATTACCTAGGAGGCAGCTACTGAACTGCCCTAGCAGTTGAGTAAATTCAGAAAAAAATATGATAAAAACTGCCTCCAAGCTCCTCCAATTCTCACCTGTCTTCCTCTCCCTCTTCAGCTAATTTATGTTCAACCTGGCAAGTATTTCAGTCGCCTCCTTCCAGCCATTCAGGCCTATATCTGGTTACCCAAAAACTTTTGCTTGTGCAAGAAAGAAAGGGAAAGAAAGATGCTGCAAAGATGCTCTAGATCTAGATAGCTCTAGATCTCATTTTTTTGCAGGCTCCCGAGGACAAAATATCAGAAATATCAGAACTGGCTTAGTCATTACTCCAGACTGAACAGAGCATTTACACACCCAGAACCATAACAAACAGGAAAAAGCAGTATCCTGAAAAAGTCAGATGTGCGCTTAAAATCAGTAGCAGACAGGACTACCTTTTAACTCATCCTACTGATCCAAAAAAAGCACTAGTACATTGCTAGAGACGGGGTGCTTGTATTTATGCAATATCCTAATACATTCTTTTCAATTGATGTGTTAGGCGGAAGGATAACAGGAGGGCAGCAGAAAACATATATAAACTGTTCTGCTTCATTAAGTCTTATTAACATTCCCCCCCATCCCATCGAAAGTACTCACGGCTCTTGTGTAATGTCTTGGACCAAATACAGACTGTTACAGTAACAGATTTTAACTATACACTTACAAGACATATGCACAAGTGTTTCGACAACAGATTATCACCGTTAATGATGTCTGCTCTCTTATTTCATTTTTTCCCCTTTAACTTTTATTAATTGTACATATTATAAACCTATAAGAAGCAGTGTTGGTTTTAGAATTTGTTATTCCTAAAGCAGGTAAAGCATTTGTGAGGATAGCTGGCGATACTGACAACAGAGGCAATTTAAAAATATTTCCAATAACTAACTTTGTTATAAAATAATCCCAAGTAACTAGACAGCCAGAATCTAAACAGTAGAGCAATGATTACCACAGAAAAACAGTGACTTTTTTCCATTAATCAAAAACAGAAATGGTGAACAGCACATCCCCATTTGAGATTATTGTAACTGAATCAATTGCAATGTGTAACTAATTTAAGGAGAGGAATGAGTTCCAAATATTTTAGCAGTAATTTAACATTTATTTATACTGTGTTCCTAAGTGTAGTGTTTCCTTTTTGTGGTCCCTGGATAATATTCAATAGGTTTTTATTTAACGTAAAAAGGGACAAAGACAGCTGCAAGCATATACATACCAAATTTCTATCTACCATATTACCATATATTTATGTGCTAGCTGTACATAACGTCATTTCCCAAGCCACAACTGAAAATTCATTGAAGGAAATAATTAAAATTGACAATTCAAAAAACCTTTACAAAAATACTTCTTTTTATTAAAAGCAGCAGAGTTCAAGCAGAACATTTTACAGAATGTAAACATCATGCAGTTCAGCTCCAAAAAAAGCTGAACCTCAGAGAAAGTCTACACTAAATGTATCTACCGTACAAGCAAGTTAACAGACTATATTATAATTTGAAAATATATTTTCTACTTTGAATTAAGAAAATGTAACTTATCGTAGTCTGTCCCAGCGCCAGATACTGGCATCATCACACACAGCTATAAGGATACTACTATCCCTGCTAAAACTGGTTTGTCGAATGGCAGCAACACATTTAGGATGAGTAAGAGTCGTACACCTATATTAAAAAAAAAAAAAAAAAAAAGGAAAATTAATTCAGCTGCAGTGTTAAAACTGCACTTACTACTACATTATAGACTGCTGTTCCACCAACTTCTTACTTATATGGCTTAGGTGGAATTAGAAAGGCAACAGGATTACACCCTTATTTTGTTTTCCAGATCTGGATTTGGAAAAGTAGCAATTTCCTGCTTATTCACCACCACGAAATTTTCGCATTCATCCAATTTTCATTGAAGCATTAACTAAAAGCATATTGAATCACTTTATTTAGGATTTTGTAATCAATTTTGTTTTCTAATGGTTAGGAATAAAATACTGGAATTGGGTGATTACAGAAACACGCAGTAAATCACCAAGCAGGTGAGGAACTGAAAAAGGCCATACTCTTTCCTCCATATTATGCTTATAGCTAACCTATGTACTCTCATGACTCTAACCTATGTATTCTCATCACTCTAGTCCTTTCACCTGTTCCTCTGTGGTCATGTGCTACATTCAATTGGCACTTCTCTTGATTGCTTTGTAAATTCTCCATCTAATTAGTCTCTAAGCTCTTTGAGAAGCAAACTTTCTTTTACTGTATCTACATGGAGTGCCCAGGACAATGTGGCCCCAATTCGTTTGGGGCTTCTTGGCATTACTGTAAAACAAACAATAACATAGTTTAAAAAAAAAATTAACCTTCAGGGGCTCAAAATGTTTATTTATCTAGTAGATAGAGTGGAAAGTTGCTATTACTGTGCAAGAATTTCTGTAGTTACCAGTAAAGGAAAAATAAAAGTGCTGCAACTCCTTGTCTCAAGGAAAATAAATCTTAAAAATTAAGTACTCACTTGGCTTTATGAGGATCCTCTATTTCTAAATCCCAAACGTAAAGTTTGCCAACCTGATTGCCCAGAGCAAGCATCTTTGAAAGAAAGCAGAAGATATATAAGTTTTGAAGTATAATCTCAAAGAATGGAAGCTAGAATTTTATAAAGGCTCTGTAACTGATAAATTGTAAATGTATGTTTGAAGTTGACTTAATGAGGTTGCTGAAGGGGTGTGAAATGCTAAAAAATTGCCTCCTTTTCCCTCACTTTATTACCCATCTCTGTAGATGCCAATAAATTTATCTTTGGTAGAAAATAAATATTTATTTGGTTGAACTTTTTCCACCAAACAGAACCCAAAATGGAAACATTTGGAGCTCCACCAGTTTCGTGCAAAGCTCCTCATGCCAAACCAGTCTGCTTCTCAAGAATGACATCACAGCTCATGAAGCAATAAAGACTCTTTCCTTGCACATATTGCACGTGGAATCGCTGAAAAGCTAGTCATCTTCAAATATAGCTAAGCCAAAGCTCACACATACCTTTTGCCAGAAATCCATGGAAAACCTCATGTACCATATATCACATTGGCTATAATCAAATCTCCCAAGTATGGTCACGTTTGACTCACTGGGCTTGATTTTATCTATATCATCTTCCATTTTGCCAGGTTTCCAGCACACAATGGCATTTTCACAAGACTGGGAGGGGAAACAGTGAAAAATTGTCTATTTTTACAACTTATACTGCACATTCAGTCTAACTATAATTTCAACCAAGCAATGCATCTCACAGCTTCACCAAGGACATGAAAAAAGTAAAACTGAAAATCTCACCTTGGACCTTAGATCACAGCCACATCACCAACAATTTGTCACTGTCCATCACTGGGAGATTGCTGCCCTCACAGCTCTGCCAGATAACAGGATTGCATGAGCCCTCCCTCACCCATTTCAGAGGAAGTCAGCCAGATGCACTCAAACACACTTTCTTTTTAGGATTTCTCATCCAATCCCTTCATGCATACAACAATTTCTGGCAAAGAGGCAGTGATACCTACCCTGTTCAGTATCTGCAAGCAAATGTTACTGTTGTTATCACACAGATCAAACTTATTCCTTTAGGGAAACCTTCATTTCTTTCTTTAGTTGTAAGACCCCTGACCAGTACTACATTTTTTTTTATTGTACATTCCATGAAGATCTTGATTTTTGGGTATCCCTGTACTCTTAACAGAGCTACACCTGTAGTTAGTAATGATTTTTAAGTACAAGTTGTTCACCCACACAACCCAATAGTTGACAAAATCCACAATATATTCAGTAAAACCATTTGACATGGCACAGTAAGTTAACCACCCAATTTCTTTTAGGACTTGAACTGTTTAAGATCCTCAGAAAAAACATGTAAGAGTAACATAGCTGGAAAAGCTGCCACCTTACCTTGGAAAGAATTAGATCTCCCAACCATCGTACGCAGTCAACATAGTTCCTATGTATGTCTCTGGTAGAAAAGTCAGGAAAGTGAATTTTCTGAGAAATAAAAGGCCTACGGAGAAAAGTGCCGAGTGAGGACACAAAAGAGACACAAAAGCACAAGTCTAATTTTTAACGGAGTCAGTTAATATACCTTGATGTTAGAAGGACAAGCCTGTCTTTCGCCTCACTGCCCTCCCACAACCATTTTAAAACAACGTAGATTTTGTATGCTTATTCAGAAGATGAACAATCCCTGTCTTCATCCTCATTCTTAATGAAATAGCCATTTTCCCAAAAGGTTCAAATTTACATGACACTGCTAAGCGAACCACTCCTTCAGATGCTGAATACAGCTCCCTTTGACAAATACCTCCAGAACTAATTAAGACAACTCAGTTTCCCTGATGGTCCTCCTACAACATCTAAATTGTTAAACATAAAAACACTCTATGAAACTCTATGGTTACCAAATTTAATATTTGGTAACACTACCAAAAAAAAAAAAAAGTACTTTCAAAGCTAGCCTCATGGCTGAACACGTTCAAGTGTGTTTTAGACTCTTCAATTCTCTCAATGGTTTAACTGAAGTTAAGATTAAAGGGTTGACGAATTTCATAAAGGAGGATTTATCTACCATGTATCTAATTGCCACGTTTACCTGAAAATTTACTCAGCTCTCAGGTCAGATCAGAGAATCATGAAAATGAAAGTTACTACTATGTAAACATTTTGCCCTGGCGACAAAGTCAGATAAAGATGCAATAATTAGCAATAGTTGCCCACAGTTACATTCATTTAAAAGTATAAACCTGAAGAAAAGCCATCGACACTTATTGAAATACAATGATATATCAGCTTGTAATTAAAATATAAATTAATCTTTTAATTGTAATTAAAAGATAAAAATCTCAGACATTTTCTAGTCAGGACTTTGAATTCAATAAAATCCTGCTAAGGCATAACATCAAAAAGACAAGTCTTCTTGATGAAGACTACCTACCTGTTGGTTTTATTTGGATTGTACTCGTAAGACTCTTTGATGGCATTTATCATTCTCTTGGAATTAATCCTCCAGAGTTTCAGAGAGTGATCCATCCCGCAGGACATGATTTTTTCACCAAGAAGATCATAATCCTATGTATATGAAATAATTTTGAGCACCCTCAGCCTAAATGGCATTATGGTAACTCAGATTTTACTTCCATCATATGCAAAACACGGTCAAAACAGCATTTTCTGCGTAGAAAAAGCAACAGAACTATGCATTCCAAATGGAAAAATACTAATTACTTAATCCTGCTCATTGTAAAGGAGCACAGTAATTCTATTTACTCTTGCTCAAGAAAAAAAAAAAAGGCGCATTCAACAGCACTGACAGACAATGAAACTACAGCTAGCATTCCCTTTTAGTAAACACCCTCATTTTCATTTTATGGAACAACCTTGGCAGAATTCCAAAGCTAATACATGGCCAATGACTACAACTATTTACAACTACAGAAGAACACAGCATCATGTTTCATATAGATACACACCTCATCTTTCAGGTCATACAGCAGCAATGGAAACAATCATTAAGAGCAGCATATTAAAAGATAACTATTCTCGCTGGTATTTGTTGGGTACCAGTGTATGTTCATAGCTACTGAAAAGCAGCATAGCTCACTTGAAATAACTTCTTTCTTTCACTACTATATTTCTCAAGGTTTATTTGTTCTTGCTGCTTTTGCTTGGCAAGACCTCAAGAACTCCAAAAGTGGGACCATAATGAAAACTTATTATTCTTTCTAGCCCCACTGAGCTCCATTTTGTTTACTTCTAGGCTGCACTGTGAGAGAACTAGCTACTGGAACAGATGCACAAAGTGAACTCCTGTCCTCTTTACTGAGAGGCAGCCAGATCAATCAAACCACTTCAGAATTACGCTTGTCTATCCACTTAAAACATTGCTGATGCACTTCAGTTTTATTAGGCATAATATCAAAAACAGTGCACAACAGAAGGAAAAAAAGTTGCACATCGTGGACTTACTACCCTTTGTAAATCTAAATCACTGCCCCACAGTCTTCCACTTACTGCACTTAACACCTCATCCCTGTGCCCTTCTACTCCTCCAAATATTGCAACCAGCGTGTCTGTCTGGATGTTCCACAGTCTCAATGCATGATCTATAAAGAACAAATAAAATTACATGCTGCTTTTCATACGCACACATGAATAATATACTTCAGCTTCACCACTTTCAATAATACATACCCACGTAAACAAAAGAAAAGGCACTTGGAATTCAATTGCTAGGAACAACAGGACTGCATTCACTAGATTTGCCGTTACAACTAGATACTGTTAGCGTTAAATCTGTAATGGAGAAAGCGTGCCTTTCCTACCCCGCACCCCCGAGGACAGTTTCTATCAAAAATATTTTTAGGTCTCAGACCATCTGAAAAGCAGAGTCTGACCTTGGACAAGTGTGTCTTTATTCAGTCTTAGCTCAAAGACAATATTATATTTCAAAAAAATGCTGAATTCCTTTCAGCCATTCTTACATCAGTGTTCAGAAAGCTTGGAGTTTCCATTTTATATTCTTTAAAATATTATTCTTTATGGACTGTAAAATATAGGGGCAGGAAGGAATGATTTCTATAACATATACTTCCAAGTCAATGTGACTAGTCCACTTGTTTAAAGAAAGTTTGAACAATTTCTCACGCAGAATCTCTAGCCCTGGGAACTGCTAGTGTACTTCCCCATTCGAACTCCGTAAGTACACTGCACTAAATTACAGAAATATGAGTGGGAATGCCACACAGTCCCACACATTTTCCTCGCTTTCTACTCATCTCAAGCAGTTCTGAGACACTAGTACCCTCCTGCCTCATGCCCTCTTGAAGATAGTACCCGGTCCAGGGATTGCACATTAAAACTCCTAGTACTACGGCTGCTGTCAAAATGTTATTAGAAAGAGAACTTGGAAAATATGCAGAAGTGAAGAAATTCTAAGTTATAGACCCACAGCACAGAACCACACCAAAAACTAGACAGTTGCAAGAATTACAGAGGTTCCCAACTGCTATTCTTGTGTAGCCTTACCAGTAACACTGCCCAACCACACTGAAGTCAACAGCCCCCTTTGTTACCATTTTCAGTCCTAGCATTCATAGATACTCATTTCACAGACAAGCTGATAAAGGATGGGCTACATAAGTGGTCCATAAGGTAGACTGCAGGCTGGCTGAACTGCTGGGTTCTTGCTTGGGCCAAGGCTGTTCAACAACTTCATCAATGACCTGGATGAAAGGACTAACTGCATCCTCAGCAAGTTTGCTGATGATCCAAAACTCGGAGGAGAGGCTGACACACCAGAGGGCTGTGCTGCCCTTCAGAAGGACCTGGACAGGCTGGAGAGATGGGCGGAGAGGAACCTCCTGAAGTTCAACAAAGGCAAGCGCAGGGTCCTGCCCCTCAGGAGGAATCACCCCATGCACCAGCACAGGCTGGGGGTTGACCTGCTGGAAAGCAGCTCTGCAGAGAAGGACCTGGGAGCCCTGGTGGACGACAAGTTAAGTACAAGCCAGCAACGTGCCCTTGTGGCCAAGAAGGCCAAAGGTATCCTGGGCTGCATTAGGCAGAGTGTTGCCAGCAGGTCAAGGGAGGTGAGGCCTCCCCTTCTACTCAGCCCTGGGGAGGCCTCACCTGGAGTCCTGTGTCCAGTGCTGGGCTCCCCAGTACAAGAGAGACATGGAGCTCCTGCAGCAAGTCCAGCAAGCAAAGGGCTACTAGGATGATGAAGGGGCTGGAGCACCTCTCAGATGAGGAAAGGCTGAGGGAGCTGGGCCTGTTCAGCCTGGAGAAGAGAAGACTGAGGGGGGATGTGATCAACGTGTGAGAAGTATCTGAAGGGAGGGTCTCAAGAGGATGGAACCAGACTCTTCTCCGTGGTGTCCACTGACAGGACCAGAGGCAATGGGCACAAACTGAAGCACGGGAAGTTCCACTTGAACAAAAGAAAACACTACTTCACTGTGAGAGCAGCTGAACACTGGACCAGGTTGCCCAGAGAGGTCATGGAGCCTCCATCCTTGGAGATATTCAAAATCCAACCAGACATGGTCCCAACCAACCTACTGTTGGCAACCCTGCTGTAGCAGGGGGGTTGGACTAGACAATTTCCAGATGTCCCTTCCAACCCCAACTATTCTGTGATTACTGCAAGCTTATTCTTGTGACAGATCAAGTGTTCCTTAACAAGATAGTCTAGATTTTGAAGCTGTGATTGTTTAGACATTGCAAACAGCGCTGTACAACACCAATGAAAACCTTACTTCTCCTTTTACTAGTACCCTTTTTATACAAACTGCAATTAAAGTCCGAGCTCCTCCTGACAGAGAAGTTTTCCCCATGACTACAGTGATGAATGCCGTCTGCCACATTATGACATTCCCACTAGATGGCAACGATTCAACAATTAAAAAAAAAACAAAACCCTCAAATTACTGTTAGAAAGGAAAGAGCAACCCCAACACTCAGAAGCACCGTCCACAATCCCTTTATACCACACAGTTATTTTTACTGTAGGCCACGAATTTAATATTTACATTTTATATAATCTTTAAGGGCAAGATTTGCTCTAGACTTGCAGGATAAACTTGTTCAGTAGCATTCACCAACTTGGATTTGAGAGGTTTTTGGGCTACCTTCAAGACCAAAATTCCAAACCAAAGTACCTTGGATTTATACAAGAAACAAAAGGTATTTTTCCTCACCTTTGCTTACAGATAAAAGGAGATTTGGATCTCTTGGATGGAATTTCAGTTCATTGATTGCATTTCCATGGCCTACATAGTGCTGGGACAGAATTCAGAGACTAAGTTATCATTTCCCAGGTTCATATGTATTTAGGTGTTACACACCTTACTGAAATGCAAGCTGTCTCTCGAAGTTCTGAGCACTCACCTTTATGCACTGCATTGTAATAGGATTAATTATCCTAATAATACCCCTGGACCCTGCCACAGCCAGAAGAGGATGGCTTGTATTGCTATCGTATGTCCATGCACAGGTATAGAAATTTTCATCTGCCTACAAGGTCTCACATTAAGGAACACAGAAGTAACAGGAGTGTGTTTTTGTAATTTTTTTTTAGAAAAATGTTTTATTTTTAACTAATGCAATTTTTGAAGCAAATAAGCTTGATGCTGTTTTTATAAAAGTACCTAGGACTTTGTATTGGGTCCTAGGTCCTAATAATAATAATAAAAAATATTTAATGTTACATCTGTAAATATATAAATATCAGCTCTATCCCCTTGTCTACATATACCAATTTCCTCACTTCTGCTCCTCAACACACAAGGAACACCTTCTTTTTTTGGCATCTCTTTTCAACCTCTTTCTCCAAAACATTCAGAGACTGGGAATAAAATGAGTGTAAATCAAGATCGAGTTCACAAGTCAATATTCATGAACTGTGACTGATTAACACAAATTATTACCACTTCAGAGTGAGACAGAAATTCTTAAGCTTTAATCCCAGTTACAATTCAGAGGGAAGCTGAGAACACTGTAAAACATTACACAAATATTAGTGTTGGGAAGATTAAGCTGATGGAGAATCAGTTTTCAAATATTTTAATATAGCATATTCCATGAGTCTGCATTCCTAGTATTATTTCAACAGGTGGGATTCTAGGATGTGGAAACGTAGTAAGGCTTGGGTCTACCATCAGGAATGTGCCACATGAGGAAAGTATTAAATCACAGACAAAAATGTTCAAATTCTGTTTCTTATGAAGCCTTTTCAATTCTGATATAGGGAAAGTAAACAACTGTTTTGCTTTGGTTTTTGTTTCTGTTTTAATTTAAAAGGATACATCAGCATCCACGTAGGACTGCAGCAGACGTATTTCTCCTTGGGAATGACATTCATACAAAGTAACCTGGAGAAAAAAAGTGGGAGAAGTTACTGCTTGCTTATGATACTTCCAATGGAAATCACATGCAACTGAGTATTGACTTTCTGATGTGGGAGAGGTTGTGTGCTTTTACGGTTTAGATCTCATCCATTATCTGTTGATCTGCATTGCAACACAGGGAAGAGGTCTGATGAAAGAATGCTCCGTTATTTCAGTAAAGCATCACACAGGACTTGTTAGCAGGCTTCCTAGACATTAAAAGCTACTAACTGAATTGTCTCTATGAAGTTCTAGTCCCTTGAAATACTAGCTACTGTAGCCATCTCTAACCTGATTTTGGTCTTTTAGCAAGCCATTGATATCTGGTGTAATCTTAGGTTAGCACTTTTGGTAATTGCCAGGTGGAACAAATCTGGAAACGGAAAGCTTCTTGTTTATTCACAACACATACACAGAGTGCGCTTCAGGAGTTATTTTTAAGACTGAAGTGACGTAGATCCTTGTTCAGGAAGGACCTATAAATTCACCTCAAACAGGCCATCAATTTAGCTGCCGAGCACACTGGCATCATTGGCACTTCCCATTCAATTTTAGAGCATATAACCTTGTGGAAACAGTAACGCCTAAGAGGAGAAATTCTAGCGAGAAGACTAATTTAGGCATCCTCTCTCCCTCACCCTATGTTTACCTTACTGATGGAATTTTAATCACCATACAGGCTAATTCCCAAATAGCTAAAGCATGACATCATACAACAATCCAGTGGTTTCACTTCTCCCAGATAAAAGACAGCACATACCTCAGAAATAAAGATCTCTATATGAAGCTTTTCTATATGAAAGCTTTCTATACTGTGTCACTACTAAACACAGGTAAAAGGATTGGTCAAGAAGTTCTGGCAAACAGAACCACTAGGAAGGGCTTATGGTTAAAAATAGATTACTCACTCTGTTGCTGCCTACAGTGGCAAAAACAAGAGGATCACCTTCTTTACTGTGCCAATTAAACTGGACTCCAAACAAAGGCTGACCATGGTCCTCCTGTAGATGTACAGTAAGATTAGAGAGTAAAAAAAAAAAAAAAAATCCAGACATTTTTCTGTGGAATTGAGCTGTGGTGGTAAACAGGTTAATTGGTATGTTTTCCTCCTCAAACTACTAGGTTCACATCCAGTATAATTTCAGATAGTAAACAGTTAAAAAGAGCAGTTTTGCAACATCACATTTTATCTTGGCTGTCTTAAGGGAAGTTAAAGGAATACTTTTTGTCAAGCTTTTAAAAAGTGAAGGAAAAGAACTGTTGTCTCATAGTTATGGCCAGAAGTTGGCAGAACTCCCGAGTAATACCTGCAGCAATACTACTTACTTTGTTCTGAAACCTTCAACAAAGCAACCTAGCCTATAAAAAGCACACAGACCCGGCTTGTTATTGTTAATAATTACAACCATGGAAGGATTTACAACCTCACTGAGGAGACTTATTAGGACAGAGAAGAATTATACTGGTGTATGAGTGGAGAAGGGTTACATTCAACTATTCCAGCATGGTTAGGTCTTGCAACTCTGCTACAGACATAATGAACTAATTCCAGCATGTCATACTGCAAAGTTCATGTCTACAGAGTGTTTTCACCAGAGAAATGCCAAGTATATTTTTTATACAGCTTGCATCAGTTTTAAAGAGAAAAACAACCAGATACGTTTATAAATTGTGATGAATATAGCAGTGCTTGTTAATAATTGATAACAGTATTTTGGCCTGCCCTGGCAGGATGTTTTCAGTAAGAATAATGTTCATTAAAGTACCTCCCCCCAGGGGACTGTCTGGGACAGTACAAGCAGGAAGGAAGTGTCTCACGATGGCTGTTGAATGCTCTTCAAATGGTAGTTCTTTACCAGAAACATTAGCCTTGGTAGCTCTGGCCTATCAAAGAACCACAGGATAAATTTGAAGGGGCGGGGGGAGGCAAGTCCAGTACTACTCAAAAGAAACCTGCTAAAAAGCAAGGAAGTGTGGAAGGATTTAAAAGGGGCAGTATTTACTGAGAAAAGTAGCATCTGTTATTACCTCAACACATAGAGCTAAAAAAAGCTAGAAAGCAGAGGGAGAACATCTTTCAGAGAAAAGGCCCTCCCGAATTTCAGGAATAGAGGTCAAAACTGAATACAGATTAGTAAGAAGCGTTCCATATTTAATTCAATAAAGTATTACCCATCAAAACACGTAAGAACAGACAACTGGTTTGTATGAAGGGAGAAAAGCTAATATCGGATATTAGCAAAGGAAAAAGTAGTAAGATCATTAGCCATTGGGGACAAAAGCAAAAAAAAATGGTATTCAGCACCTGTAAAGTATTACAATTTAATTAGAGATTAACAAGTAGAAAACTGTATGCATTGAAATCTCAAAATCATGGACTTGTGTATGAGTCCAATAAAGTTTTGAATTTTAGTTTCTAGGCTTGTCTTTAGAGTGTATTTAAGTCTTCCTTGAAGAATGTAGCTGAGCAGTCAAACATGGAATGGGTGATTAGCATAAAAAAAAAAAGTGTTTCCATTAATAATGAGTTGTTTCTGAATGTCTGTATGCGAGTTCATTATGGTGAATAAAGAGGGCACTTGATCAACTACACAAAGATAACACACAGGTAAAATCCATACATTCATACAGTTTTATTAGAGATACAGCAGAAGCTTTTGCCTAGCACAGGAGCATTTGTTTTTCAAGAATAATTTTGTTCTCTCTCAGGTGCACTATTTCCAATTAGTTTTGTGACATGGGAAATATGAAGAGGAGAAAGAAAAAGCTTGGCATCCAAGATTCCCCTTCCCCCAATATGGGATATTTTTCCAAGATAAGCTGTGACAAGCTAATTATTTTCTATACAGAACCCAGTCTAGGGTGATATGTAGTAAGTAGAGACATACGATAAAGGACTATACTATTTCTGTGTTTGAACAGATTCCTAAAGTATTTAAGAAGTCTTTTTCAAAGATAAAACCTATTTCCCTAGAAAAATTACTTTGTGGGATAAATGTCTTTAGATGACTTGCACCATCCACACTACATTCCTCATACAATTTGCTACATCGAAGAGTCCGAACATATATATTATAGTTCTTCTGGTGTGTATTGCATGAAGGAGAGAGACAGAGGCTCTTGCAGGATGCTACTAGGGTATCAGAAGAAGTTTTGATTATCTAGTTTAAAATACTATCATCCTTACTGGCAAAAGGCAGCACATAAGCTCTTCTGATAATACTTGTCCACTCCAGTCTTTGTTCCAATTGCTAAATAATGAAGCAGGTGTTAAAAATACTGTGCTATTAGGTGCTGCACGTTATGGTACCCTGTGATACCAAATCTGTCATGCAAATCTGACCACTGATTTGCATATAAGAACAGTATGACCCAGATGCTAGCCAAGAATGGGAGAAATGTGAAATGCCACCTTCACACCAGCAGAAATGAAGAGCACAAGACTCAAAGTACTCAGGTGCCTCATGCACCAGGAAGGAGATAGAGGAGCAACTAGACCTACAATTGTTACAACAGCATTCTTGGAGTAAATATATTAATAATCTTATTAGTTTTGCCCTTACTTGCTAAACTCCATCTCAGGTTCCAGTGAACAGAGTAAGAGTAGATCTGTTTTCAGAGTGGAAGCAGATATGTAAGTACAACGGGAGCAAGAAGATAATTGCCCACAACTGCATGAACATATCTTAATAATCTGTCACCTTCTCCGCTCACAAGGCACTAACTGACAACACGTACATTTCCAGTCCTTGCAGTGGCAGCAAGCTATCATCAACAGCGGTTTAGTTACCTCTCTTTTACATGGCAACAAGCTAGAACTTTCTTTGCTTGTGGTCAGTTCCAGATTCCCAGCTTAGGGGGACAGTTAGTAGAAGCTAAGACATTACACTGTGCAAACAGCTACTGAACCACACCCTAAACAAAAACAAACGGTAGGGCAAATAATGGCATTGTTTTAAAGAGAACACATCACACATCGAAGCAGCATACACATAGTTCTTTGCTGGAAAACATAAAAGTGGAACATATATGGATGTATATGAGCATGTGCTTCAGCTAGCTATATATGCTCATTTATAAACTAGGTTTCCATTCAGCCCATGGTGAGCAAAGAAGATTCTTCAGTTTACCTTACAGTATCTTAGTACTGTAAACAGCAAGAAAAATAAAGCAGTTTATCTCCTATCATTTGGAAAGCTTTTTGTTTGTTTGTTTTCCTGGTACTTATATTTCAGCCAAAATAACTTCCACACTAGAGTTTAAAAAAACATATTTAGCAAGCAATGAATGTGTCTGGCTGAATCATAGTCATTTAACATTCAAAGCAGTCAGTAATGGACATACTTCTTTGTTTCCCTATGGTAAAATCCTGTTTAAAAAAAAAAAGGGG